GTACAGCACAACTTCAGACCAAATGCCATTGCGAGATCATCCTACATGGATGATCTGGTGATATCTCTCATAAGGAGGATGTGACGTGAACGTCAGCTCCAAGAGCTCTGTGTAACTATGATCTCAACTCAAGCGTACAAAGAGACAGGTCATCACGGAAGGCGACACCAAACTACTTGGTGTGATGTTTATCGATGGTGGTCGATATCTGACGATCCCCCCTGAGAAACTCGACAGCTTCAAGTTGAAAGTTCCTAGAGAGGGTTACTCATATGCGAACCTATTGGGTACTCTGGGGTCCCTTGATGAGTCTCCAGTTGTACCTGCTTGGGCGTTGGCGCTAAAACATTATGCGCAAGGTTTGGTTGCTAAAGAAAGAGCGAGCCGGTCTCTGCCATGGTCTGCGGGATCTTCGGAAGAGTTAAGGAAGTTAATCGCTAGATGGCACAGCATGGTGAGCTCAATGCCTCCAGAAGACTTCGTGCTACAAAGACTTTATGATTATGAACAGCCTTTACAGATCTTCACAGACGCGTCGAAGCGAGCTGGTGGGTTTATCTTCTATCAGGATGAGACGATACTCCTTCAACGAGTATTCATCTTCGCTGAGTCTGAGACGAACCTACCTATAGTTTGCTTGGAAGCTCATACACTCTACCGTGCGTTTGCTGCTGTTCATCAAATTGAACTAGCTGGTCATCGTCGATTCCCCGAAGTCCATTACCATGTCGATAATGTCGCAGTTGAAGCTACTTTCAGGGTTGGTCGGCCGGCGACATTCTCCAATAAGGACGCAAAGCCCATTTTGGCTAAGTACGTGGCAATGGTGAATGCCCTGTATGACCCGTTGGACTTCGGGCGTATTATCTTTGTCAAGCGTGTGTCTACCACTGAGAATCCGGCGGACTGTTTAACTCGTCATGATTTATTAACAAGCTTTGTTCAGTTCGCTAACAGCAAGTCTATCGACTTATGTAATGTTAGCAGCTCGCCAACTTGTTCGAAGATTGCTCATGGATATGCTCCTTCTCAAGGTGTGACTATAGCAGCCCTCGGGGTGACGATTCCATCAAGGAAACTCCACGGTTTACCAACCACCCACGAGCTATGTGCAGGTCAGGGGGAGGACAGCCAAATTCAGCTTGTCAAACAATTGTTACAACGTCATGAAGGTGCACCTGCTG